CACACACACACACACACACACGAGGCAAGTGCTCTACCACTGAGCTGCATCTGCCATCGGAATGCCTTGGTGGGTTTACCAGTAGTCTCTGAGCTAACATTCAGATTTCTTTTTCCTAGAATATCGACTGTAAGAACTCTTTCACCTCATTCACTGACTGGTTGATTAAGTAAAATTTGGTTGTGGATGCAACTCAGTGGCTGAGTATTTGCCCAACATACGTGTGAAGCCCCGCATTCAATCCCAGCATTGCAGTGAATGAATCAATTCATGAGAACAAAACAAAACGAAAAAGCAACAACAACAACAACAAAAAAGTTGACTGTGTCCTTGGCTTGGGTGAGAAATTGTGGGACTAGAGGAAAGAAATATGGGTAGAGGTGATCACCATTCATCGTGGGAACCTGAGTAGACAGTAAAATACAGTGCAGTTGGCAATTCAGGAACAGTCCACCAGAGACTCATGTGACCTGTCTGTGACTGCCTGGGGTTTGGAGAAGGCGCATACAAAGAAAGGATGCAAGCTGAACCCCAAAGGATAAATTCACGGAGCTGCGGATGTGAGAATCCAGCCAGGAAGGGTGTGTACGCATCATCATCATCATCATCATCATCATCATCATCAGAAGCACTCAGCTCATCACCTCCTCAGACTGTGTGCACTGTGGGTCTGCCACTCTCTGCTCCTATTGCTCCTACTTCAGGTCGGCCCCCAGACTCCCTCCCTGCTCCACTGTGAATGTCTTCTGCTGGTTCAGTTAGGAGCTCTACCCAGGGCTGGGGAAATGGCTCTGTAGGTAAAGTGCTTGCCATGCGCACACAGAGACCTGATTGTGAATCCCCAGGACTCATGTAAAGTTGTGTGCACTAGCACCGGCCTGCAATCAGTGTTCCTATGGCCAGATGGGAGGTGGAAACAGAATCCCGGGGAGCTAGAGGGCAGGTTAAGTGCATGTCATTACAAACAGCAAGGAGAGCTTGTCTCAGATGAGGTCACAGGTGAAGACTGACACCTGACGTTGTCCTCTGAACTTACACCTCACATCATACACCTACATGTGTGCACACACACTTATACATACTCACATACAAGTATACATACACATCATACACCTACACCTACACACACACACACACACACACACACACACACACACACTCATGCACAACACAAATGTGCATACACACCATACACCTGCACAGGTACACATACACACACACACCCCTACACAGAGGTTTTTTTAAAAAATTATGCTAGGCACTTAGAAGGCAGAAGCAGGCAGATCACTGAGTTCCAGGCCAGCCAGGTGCAGGTGATACCATATACGTATGTAAGTGGGGCTGGAAAGATGGCTCTGTATGTACTGTTCTTGCATAGGACCAGAGTGCAGTTCCCAATACCCATGCACATACACACACACACAAAATAAATAAATAAATAAATAAATAAATAAATAAATAAATAAATAAATAAATTTTAAAACATTTAAATTATTATTGTGTGTAGATGTGCATGATGGGGTTGTCTTGTCACAGCACACATGCAGGGATCAGAGAACAACTTTATGGAGTCAGTTCTCTCTTTTCTTTTCTTTCTTTCTTTCTTTCTTTTTTTTTTTTTTGGGATCCAGAGATCAAACTCCAGTTACCAGATCTGAGCCTCAAGTGCTTTTATCTGACAGGTCTCACTATGTAGCCCTGGCTGTCCTAGAACTCACTCTGCAGACCAGGCTGGCCTCAAACTCTCAGAGATCCGCCTGCCTCTGCCTCCCGAGTGCTGAGATTAAAGGCGTGGGCCACTGCTCCCCGTGACACTCCTTGATGTACAGCCCCTCAGTGGCTTTCTATCATCTTGCCAGCATAGACAAGATCTAAGCACCCTGGCCTGACACTTAAGATACAGCCTGATAAGTCTTTTCCAGACTTTTCAACCCGATTGATCTATCTCCCTTAAACATGCTTTGTTCCAGCCACAAAAATATCATCTGTGGGGCTGGGGAGATGGCTCAGTGGTTAAGAGCACCAGCTGCTCTTCCAGAGGAACTGGGTTTGGTTCCCAGCACCCACATGGCAGCTCACAACCATCTACTTCTAGTTGCAGGGGATCCAGCAGCATCTCTGGACTCTGAGGACACCAGGCATGTGTGTGCTCATGCACGTGCGTGCGTGCGTGTATGTGTGTGTGTGTGTGTGTGTGTGTGTGTGTGTGTGCAATTTGCCCCTATATAATGACTCTGCACATCCTCAGAAATTCACATGCGGAGGTTGTCTTTCTCTATTATTTTCTTTCTGGAAAAGCCTTGTGTATCTTTCCATTCTCAGCGGACACACTTGATGCCTTTCTGAAGCTCTCCTTGACATCTCCAGGCACAATCAAGCTCATTCCGAAATGAACTCATAGCATGAAAGCAGCTACTGGACTATACTGCGCATGCTTTTAGGAGTGTCCTATATCTCACCAGGCCACAGGCTCTGGGAGGACCAAGCTCCTCCTCCATCTTCCTTTCCTAGCCTCTTGCACGGTCGGGAGCACTGAGTGGACGCTGCTTCCCTTCCCCTGCCTCTCTGAGCACACCAAAGCCACTTCTACAGGAGGAGTGCAGTCTCTATGACGTCACCTACACCAGTTCCGCTGACCTCCATCCTCCCCATACACTTCACCTCGCTTCTTGCTCCACTCACGTTCAACTACTGGGAATTCCAGGTGCATTTCCTCTGACCCTGAACCTCCCCTGCTTCCTCTCCTTCAAGACTGCTCTCTACACTTGCCTCCTCTGCCTTCTCTCCATCACCCCAGGACAGCCGTGCCTCCTGTGTTTGTTCAGAATACCCGTGTCCTCCCTGTCATCTCAGTCATCCAACAGGTGGCAATGCCATCCACGCCTCCCCAGGACCATGAATCTGCCAGCTACTGGAGGGAAAGAACAGTATCCTGGTTCTGCATGGAACACCCATGCCTGGTAACCCACCTGGCTCAGAAGAGCTTACCGAATGAAGGCATGCCTGAATGAAGGTAGGAACCAAGGACTCACACCTTGCACTGTTGGGTGTGCTTGTGGCCTCTTTTTACCTGAATGTGTAAGTCTTTGTGAGTCCACAGGGAAGCGTCTTGCCAAGTGGCATCAGCGGAGCTCTGATCTGCAGACCAGCACCTTCCAGGATCACGTCGTAAGCAGACGGGTGTCTACCTCCCCTGTCCACACGGTAGTCGAAAGACAGGCTCTGCCCATAACTCACTTGCTGGTTACCAAGAAACTTGGCTGTGAAACAGATTGTTGAAAGATCAGTGGTACAGCTGGGAAGGCAAACTCATGAGCAAACTGAATTGTTGGCAATTTCTGTGGGAATCCTAGGAGATCTACCCACTCTTCTATCCCAAACCACCACAACAGAAGGGTCAGGAAACGTCATGGGATGTCGGTATGAAGCTGTGAAGGTGGCCCTAAAAGAGCCTCATCATGAGACAATTCTACTGCCGGGCGGTGGTGGCGCATGCCTTTAATCCCAGCACTTGGGAGGCATAAGCAGATGGATCTCTGTGAGTTCAAGGCCAGCCTGGTCTACGAAGCGAGATCCAGGACAACCAGGACTATACAGAGAAACCCTATCTCACAAAACAAAACAAAACAAAACAAAACAAAACAAAACAGATAATTCTACCTATTAAATGGTTCATGGTGTGACCATTACAGATAGGCTGATGAACAAGACCCATGGTAAAAGAGCCAGAGTGCCATTGGTTACACGGTGTTTTATACTTTAGAGAATGCTTCTTCAGGCATCATATTTGTGTGTAGGTGTTGACGTGTGTGTACTTACGTGTGTGTACACATATGTGAACAGCCATATGGAGGCTGGATATTGATGTTGGATGTCTTCCTCAATCACTCTCTACCTTAGTTTTTGGAACCTGGTTTCTCCCTGATCCTAGAACTCACCGATTTGTCAAGCCTCTCTGGCTAGCGAGCCCTGGGGATTCTCCTGTCTCTACTGTCCTAGGGCTGGGGTTACAGGCACACACCACGATGGCCAGCTTCCCAGGAGAGTGCTTAGCATTCAAAGTCAGGTCCTCACACTCGCAGGGCACTCTACAGACTAAACCATCTCCCCAGCTCTGCACATAGCTAATGGCAGTCATTCCTGACTATTAGCATGGCCATTCTCATTTAACAGTTGAGAGGACTGAAGTTCGGAGACATTAAAAGAACAACTTGCTTGGGAAGTGCTCATTAGCTAAAGAAATATTAACTATGATTGAAATGCCAGCCAGACCTTATACCACTCAGATCACTAACAAAATTTTAAAGCTTTAACACGTGCTTTGAGGCTGGAGAGATGGCTCAGCAGTTAATAGTACTTCCTGCTCTTCCAGAGGACCTGAGTTAAGTTCCCAGCACACACATTGTGTGGCTCACAACCACCGATAAACTACAGCTCCAGGAGACCCAACACTCTCTTCTGGCCTCTGAGGGTGCTTGCACACGTATGCATTTCCCCCACACAGACAAATATATATCCATTAATTAAGAATTTTAACTTTTTTTTTTTTTTGAGACAGGATTTCTCGGTGTAGTTTTGGTGCCTGTCCTGGATCTCGCTATGTAGACCAGGCTGGCCTCGAACTCACAGAGATCCACCTGGCTCTGCCTCCCAAGTGCTGGGATTAAAGGCGTGTGCCATCACCGCCCAGCCAAGAATTTTAACTTTTTAAAAAGACATGCTTTGTTTTTGCTTTTCTATAGACCTGTTAAGTTTGATTTCATGCTCTGATGAGAAATCTAGAAACTTCCCATTCGGCTAACGTGGGGCTCTCAGCAGGGGCTGACCTCTGAGATTCCTGGACTGTTCTAGAGTGTCAGGACATGGTGAACTATCGAATTGGGCCTGAGCTCCAGCTGTCTCCGGGAGCTGCTGTGGCTTCTGTAAGGGGGACGAGTGCCACGTCCCATTTCCCAACTCAGTTTGTCTATCTTGACTCTGTAGTCCTATACATTGGCTTCTCCGGAAGTCACCCCTTACATACCAGGCGCCACAAAGTAGACCGGGTCCGACCTTCGGGCAGAACTAAACACGTCCCCATGACGCTGTGACCAGTGGAGTTTTGCTGGAGCCCCGCTCCTCTGAACTGCTTTCCAGCCATCGACATCTGCAAGACAACAAGGCCACTCTGACGCAACTCCCATCATCCCTTGAGGTAAGCAAGGCAAGACTTGCTTGCCAAAAAGTCCTCGAAGGAGCAGAAAGGCTTTTCCTCCCCATTCTTTTACAGTTTTCAAAATCCCCCAATCATTTCTACCCACTGCCTCCTGTCCGTGGCTGCTTTGACTTAAAAAAAAAAAATGTTTTCATGCATTTTTATTTATTTTGTGTTTGTGTGTGTGTGTGTGTGCACATGCCGCAGTGTCTGAAGGTCTTCCTCCACCATGAGGGTCCTAGGATTCGAACTCAAGTCCTCAGGCTTGGCGGCAAGTGCACTTACCCCTGAGCTCTGTCACTGGCCCCTTCCCTTATCTTTGGCTGACTCTTATCTTTGGATGCCTGTGATTCAGGCTTATGATTCCAGGCTTGTTTTCACCTGCCTGTAATTTGTATTTTTATCATACTTACAAAAACAAGATCTGGCCTTAATGAGGTCAGACAGACACTCAAACCAGCTGAAATAATATCAGTTTCCAACATGTTTATACTATCCTGAAGCATGCTAACTAAGGACATACATTAACTTGATGGATGTTCGATAGGATGTCATTAGTGAGTGTGGATTCTGGGATGTCCTCATAAATCCTTCTTCCACATGAATAATCTGCTTTGTTTTTGAAATAGATATGGGTGGGAAGCACAGGGTTATAAATAGCTGGTCTCTTTTTAGCTGTTTTTAAGTTATTCATATGCTGTACAGCTGTAATTTTTCAAGATATATGGTTTGTCTTATCCCAAAATAATGTGCATCACGAAACAATACAAAAGGCCTAGAGATGTAGCTCAGTTGGTAAAGGGCCTGCCTGGCACGCATGAGGTCCTGGGTTCCATCCCAGGTACAGAACTGAACTGGGTACGATGGAGCAGTTTTGTCATTCCAGGACCTGGGAGGCGGAGGCAGGACGATCAGAAGTTCAAGGCTGTCCTCTGCAGCATGTGGAGTTCAAGGCCAAGTCTGGACTATGTCTGTCCTAATAAACACCAGTCAGAGAACTGCTAATGAGGACTTGGGAGGCCATCCCGTGAGCAGGGAAGCCACTGTCAGTAAGCGCGAATCATAGAGCCTTGTGTGGTGTCGAATGTATAGAGATCTCAAGACACTGTGCTGAACTACTTTACCCTGAGAGAAACTTGAGGTGATCTTGTGGACACTGAAGTCTGCAGAGCTGTGGCAGCTGGCTGAATGCCCATAGCAGAAACACTGAGTACAGCCATCAGGGTTGGCCCTGTCCAGATGATAGTATCCAGGTCGGCACCTGCAGCAGAGCAGAACTGTAGAAGTCAGGGTGATGCTGTGGTTATTTCTTATTTCACAGTGATTCAGCCTCTTCCTATGTTCTCTCCCACTTGGCACTATTAATTCCCAGAGTGGGGACGATAGCAAGGTTTACATACCACCCCCACTGCAGACCACCAAAGGCCATCACAACCCCCGACACACACACACACACACACACACACACACACACACACACACACACACACACACAAACGAGAGTGTTCACTTTTTCTGCCTTCAGTGGAGCCTTGGTAGTCTGGAAACTAGATGACTGACCCGCTCTTGGTGATGGATGGAGGTTGGTGGGTGGTGCAGGGAGGGATGGGACAGGAGTATGCAGAGCAGATCTGCCCCGGAGCAAGTGTTTTTGGAGGCAAAGTAGGGGCCAGAAAGGCAAATCTCTCACCTCAGTCTCTATCCAGCTATCCCAATCCCCAAGACCTTTGAGTATTTATCAACACCCTGTTCATCATGACCCAGTCCTGGCCCAAGGAGGAAAGAGCCACTAAGGACACAACAAAGATAAAAGAAGTCTAGAGATGCCCTAAAGCAGCCAACGGCAGGCTGGCATTCCACCCCTGCTTCCAGCCCAAGCCTTCAGGCAGCTTCTCTTTGGACAACTGCCAGGCGAAGCTGAGCTGTGGAGGCAGGAGGACACCCTCTGCTACTGTAGCAAGTTCTAAACCCCCCCATCTCAAAACATAAAAAAAATAAATGGATAATAAAAAGACTTTCAAGCAAGAAGTGGTATGATCCTACCATTTGGGAGGATGAGGCAGGAGGATCGCCACGACTTCAAGGCTAGCCTGGCTACACAATGAGTTCTAGGCCAGCCTCTGTTACAGAGCAAAGCTCTGTTTCAACTCGCCTCTGCCTCCCCAACCCTGCTGCAAAATGCTTTAAAAAAAAAAAATACCGTGTGTGTATGTATGTGTGTGTGTGTGTGTGTGTGTGTGTGTGTGCGCGCGCGCGCGCCTGTGTGGGTGTGTGTCACGTGTGGGTAGGTGCCTGGGTCCCAAAGAGGGCACTGGGCCCCCACGGGCTGGAGTTACAAGCAGTTGTGAGCCACTGGACAGGGCTGCTGGGATTCCAACCGGGACCCTCGGGAAGAGCAGCAAGCATTCTTCACTGACGCTCCTTCTTTCCAGTGCGCCTCCCCCCACCACATACACGAAGGCTTTCAAAAAGTGACTGCTTCTTAAAGCTCAAGCTAGTCATCGCTGACTCCCTCTTCAGCAGCCAGGGACCCCCTGAAAACACAAGCTAGGAATGCGTTTGGCACTTCCTCGGCCCAGGTAGAAGGGTTTGGCAGGCTGCCAGGAAAAACGCTTGCTTTCTTTTAAGGAACTGAGAAGGAGCCTTTCAGCTGTAGGGCCACCCTCACTGCGCCTCGCCTCGGCTCACAGTCATCTCAGGGGAGAGCAGAGGATCGTCTGAACACAGTTTGTACTTCAGGGATGTCCTGAGGCAGCAACTGAGGGCGAATGGCTCCTCAGTGCTCCACCTGCCCCAACATGGCTCAGGCCCAAAGGGCTCCAACGTGGTGCCTCAGTTCAAGTGCGTGCATGTAACCACCATCCCCTCCCCGGGGCGGTTCCTTCTCCGCGCACGGTGGTTATATATGGCCATTCGCTGCCACAGTCCCTGTTACAAGGATTTTCCTCAACTTGTTTAATTAGGCCAGGCATTTCCCAAGACCCACTCAGTCACACGATCTCATTATTGCATACCACCTTGCATCCTAGCACCTGGGAATCACAGCCAGCTGGCTAGGGGACTCCCTGGGGCCCTCTGCCACTGCCACCGTCACAGTCAAAGCAAAGAGAAGGGACCCAGAGCAGCAAATGGACAGCAATCAGTCGCACGCAGGCCTTGATTTTTTGGGTTCTGTTTTTTAAGCTCGGCTTTTGTGGACAGGGTGTAAGAAGCTCTTAACATTTGCTCAGGATCTCCTTCCCGTAATTGTACATGGGGGATTAATTCTCATGCCAGGTGCCGGGGCACTCTCCCTAAAGCCTCCAGAGACACGGCTCACACAGACCTGTCACAGCGCTCTCCAGTGACAGCTGGTTTGCAGACACAGCGGCCAGAATCACAGGGTCCAGAGATGCCAGCTGGGTCGCAGTCACAATTGGAATCTCTGAGAAGGAAAAAAAAAAAAAAAAAAAAAAGAACATTTGGAGTCAATTTCTAATGCTTACAGTCATACACACAAAAGTTAGCTGCCCAGAGTGAGCGGCATCTCACGGCCACACTCTCCTTCAGGGAGGCTTCGCTGAGCACTCTCTCTTCCTGCCTTTAACGACTCATGTACTTAAGCCAGTGAGGCAGCGATCGTTGATGAAACCTTTGCTAGCTACCCAGCATGGGAAGAATGTGCCAAGTTCTTACTAAACTGTTGAGTTTGGTTAACCAAAGAGTTTAGTCTTTCTTTAATTCATAATTTATTTCCCCATAATTTAATAAATGATATAATTTAATTTGATAATGTCTTTTAGGATGGGGAGACCCTCTACTCACTGTTGGAGTGTGCTCAGGTTCTTCCTTTGGGTACGGCCTCTACTGAGGTATAACCCCCACGCCATGGGATTCACCCACACACAGTGAACGCTTTGCCCGTTTGTAATCAGCTCCCAGAGTTGTACAACCATCCCGTAAAGACCAAACTGCAAGCATTTTCAGTGCTCCTAAAAGAACCATGCCGCCGTTCCCTCCCTCAGTCCCATCCCCAGCTGCATGTGGCCACTAGTGATCTTTGTCTCTCTTCAGATTTGCCTATTCCGGATATTCCCTATTGAAATCATACCATATGTGGTCATTTGTGACGGACTTATTTCACGTATCATTGGTTTTCAAGGTCTGCCCATGTCATATCATGGAGTATATATTCTGATGGCTGAAAAAAATCCCACTGTAAGGACTGGCCGTAACTTGCTTATCTCTTCATTAGCTGGTAGATATTTGGTTTGCTCCTAATACTTAGCTATAATGAACAAGGTTTCCATGAACTTCTGCATACAAGGCTTTGTGCATTTTATCCATGTTTACTTATTGCGCACGTGTATCTGGGAGTGGAATTGCTGGCTTTGCCGGCTTTTGTGTTCCTGAGTAGTAAGACTCTAACTGTAGGTACCAATGCTGTCATCTGATCCGGGCACCGTCTCCCTGTCTCATGACTGGCACCGGTTTCCATCACTCATTTTGGCACACGCTCACACATCCACCTCGTCAGTCTAAAACCAAAGGTACCTGCTCTTGTCTACTGTTCAAACCCTGCTCAGCCTCCTCAAAGCCCTTCTCATGGAGAAAGAGTGAACAATGATCCCCTCTGGCTGTCCTGTGACCCCATCAAACCTTGCCCAAACCTGCTTGACTCCTTCACCTTCACCTAATCAGGCTCAAGTCCAGAATCCCTCTCCAGCCTTTGTCTCTGTTCCCCTGGCCTCCTTTGCGTCTGCGCTTCCTCCACAGTCCTCCAGATCACCTGACAAACACACTCTCGGCGTCTACTACACTAGGAACCAGGGATTGGATGAGAAATGGGAACCGGCCCTGATTCTTGAGGTTTCAAGGTGCGTGCAGATACAGCATCAGCAACAGCAGCGATGTGTAATGGCCGCTGCAGCCATGCTGAAACACCCCCGTGCCTCTTCCTCTCCCCAGTTCCAGGCACTGAACCCAGCAGAGGTCAGAACAAAGCAGGGCTCTCACTCCAGTTAAGAGGAATGAACAAATACTGATAACGAAGGACAGAGCCGAATACAAGCAATGTGTGAGGTGAGGAAAGCAAGGGAGGGGCCTGGAGGGGATGATGCGGTGCCATGGGTCCCTTGACGTGCTTCATGGCTTAGCAGGAAAAGGGATGGAGGCCGCACATACCGATTCCTTGAAGCAGGGGCTGTGGCTGGAGTGTGGGAACCAGAAGATTGACGAAAAACTGATCTAAGAGTGCCAGGGAGGACTAGAAGAGGGTCATCTGTGCAGACACCCAGAAGAAAGAAAATCCTTACTGGGGTACTGGCAGTAAGGAAGGCCAGGAGGATGGATGTGTCTAACTAGACAAGAACTGTAACTAGGTGTGACGGGCGAGCGATGTTATCAGGCCTGGCCTAGTTTCCTATCATTTTTCTCTGGAGACTAGAGAAATTTGTAGCTATCTGGTATTACAGGAAATCAGCATCTTTTCCCTTCCCACAGCCTGACGTCACCCAGGTTTGAAGGCTGCAATCTGATGGGTTGTGGGTGGAGATGGAATTAACGTTTCCCACTGCTGGAAACAGCTGGCCAGGAACATGCGTTCTTCTTATCCGTGCTGAACCCCAAACCAGACTTCCAGGAACCAAACAGAACCAAGAGGACTTGTGGATGGAGATGCCCCAGTCTCCTCCTAATATCCACGCCCCCAAACCAGGGCCACAGTGAAGGCCAGACCAGAGAGAAGAAATAGGAATTTTCTAAACTGAGTGTTATAACTCACACCTCCTACCCCAGCTCTGTGGAGGCTGAGGCAGGGGGATCATTTGAGGCTGGCCTGATCTACACAATAAGACCTTGTCTCAAAATAAAAACAACAATAAAACAAACAAAACACACACACACAAACACACACACCAAAACAAAAACAGGGAGAGAGGAAAAGAGAGACAGACAGACAGACAGACGACAGACAGACAGAGACAGAGACTAATACTGAAGTTATTCACTAAATGAATCTTCCTAACCAAGACAGTTTCTCTACTGCAAAAGTGAAGTAATGTATCAATCATTAACAGTGCCAGACTAGGAAAGGTCTTGGGGACAGTCCCTCGGAGAAGGGGCCCAGACAGCTACTTAGATTCAGCACTGATCTTTCAATACCAGCAAATGGCCAGTGAGCCGCCGGCCAGGGGTCTGAACTTTGCCGTTGGCTAACATGCCAACTATATTACCAAATCAAGCTTGTTTTGACTGTCGTGCAGTATGACAGTCATTGGAAAGACAAGTTTCACAAAAGAGTGTATTCAGGAGGGGGCCACGTGTGGAAAACGGTTTGGAGAAAGTTCTGGACTGAGGTATGAGGACAGGTGGTTGGAAGTTAGGAAGCAGTTAGCGGTCCGAACGTTTTTCAACTATTACCCTCGAGACCCACATGTCAGAGGTGTTATGGAGTCCTCCAAGACAGACGGTGTTCAGAGGCAACTTAGGCCAGTCACTAAGAGCAGCTGAGTCTAGGAAAGCAATAACTAAGAGCAAATTGAGTTTAGGAAGTAAATAAGAACTGGGTACGTTTTTAAAGTGGGAACTAAGCAAGTTAAGTCTCGAAAAGCAACAACCAGGGGCCAGCTAAGTTGAGAAAACTAATGAGAGCAGCGTAAGCCTAGGAAAACATGCAGGCAGGTGACGCAGCTGTCAGCAGCAGGTTAAGTCCAGAGGGTTTATTTAGCTTCCCCTTTGGTCTCAGAAATTCCTTCTGGCTAATTCTTCACCACCAAGCTTGCCTTGCTACCCCTCAGCTCTGCATCTCTGTGATAGTACGTGATATAGAGTGCAGTCTCTGTCTTCCTTCAGGAAGGAATCTGAGGACAGAGAGCAGATGCTTCAAACTAAAGGAAGAAAAGAAAAGAAGCCAGGTGGTGGTGGTGCAGGCCTTTAGTCCCTGCACTCAGGAGGCAGAGGCAGGTGGATCTCTGTGAGTTCGAGGCCAGCCTGGTCTACAGAGTGAGTTCCAGGATAGCCAGGACTGTTTCACAGAGAAATCCTGTCTTAAAAAACCAAAAAAAAAAAAAAAAAAAAAAAAAAAAAAAAAAAAAAAAGAAGGAAAAGAAATTTTTTGAGGTCAGACGGGTTCTGTTTAAAAGGGGGAAATTTTTTCCCCCCGGTTCACTAAGGAAGGCCAAAGACTTGCATCCAGGTCCAAAATCTCTGGGTTTCCCAAACAGGCCCATCATCACCAGTAACATTGAGCATTTAAATTTTTCAAGATTTAAATATCTTATTAAATCTTCTTATTAAAATGAGTATAATTGCAATCCCAGGCATTTAGGATTTGTACAAGGATTAAATCTGATAACCCCACATGAAGAATTCACAACAGTGTTTGGCACCCGGCAGGTGCCACTATTGCCCTAGGAACAGCGATGGCAGAATAAAGGACTCCGTGACAGCTAATCTTGGTTGTCAAATTACACCCGGGGAAGAAGGAGCCTCAATTGAAGACTGGCTTGTGGGTGAGTCTTTGGGGCATTTTCTTGATACCTAATTGATGGAGGAGAGCCTGGCCACTGTAGGCGAAACCACTCCTAGGTAGGAGGGTCTGGGCTATATGAGAAAGGTAGCTGAACATGACGCGGAGGGCAAACCAGAAAGCAGCATCCCTGCAGGTCTCTACCTCAGTTCCTGCTGCGAGGTCCTGCCCTGACTTCCCTCAACAGCGGACTGTCGCTTGGAAGTGAAACATAAAATCAACCCTTTCCTCCCCGAGTTGTTAAATTAGGGCAGGTGCTTACAGTTGTCTCTGGTCCCGAGTACACCCAGCATCAGTGAGCATGTGGAAGCCTGGCTGACATCGGTCACACCTGGGTCCTGTCACACCCGGCTTACACCTGCACTGTCCAGAGTTGTCACATCCGGCACTGAGAGAACCTGTAACCCACAAGGTGGGGAGAAAGAGAAGAAGAAGAAGAAGAAAATACTTGTAAGGCATTAAAAAAAAAATGACTGTCTCCCCATGGGGGCTCAATACACACTGAGTGATGTGCACCATTCACGGTGTTGAACAAGGGTCCCCGCCATTTAATACTCTACTCAGTAGGGGACATTTTGACAGCTGAGGATGCCTGCTTCACAGAAAGAAGAGAATGGCTCACAGAAACATTTTTGTTCACATATTTGCTCTGGCTGGACATTAGGGAACGCATAGTGCCTTTCTTCTTCTTTCTTTCTTCTTCTTCTTTTAAATCCCATCAATAGGGAGTGGTAAGGCACACCTATAATCCCTGCACTCTAAGGCTTCAGTATAACAACTGCATATTCAGTCTGCCTGGTCTACATCTTGAGTTTAAAACTCAAGGAGAAAAATCAATGAGCAAGCATATTCCTATCAGTGTAGCAGAAGGAGTAACTCTCTCCCTTGTATCTAGCCACCAAAGACCATTCTCAGGGGCCAGTCCTTGACTTGTGTGTGTTTATGTGACCGTGAGCATGCACGTGGAGACCAGAGGACAAACTCCAGTTGTGCTTCCTCAGGTATTCTCCACCCCCCCAGCCCCCCATCCCAGCCCCACCCAGGCAAAACAGGCTCTTTAGCTGGCCTGGAACTCACCAAGTAGATCAACCTCTTTAGGACTGCCTGCCCCTGCCTCCCCAGAACCATGATTTCAAGTGTGTGCCGCCCTTCCCATTTTTTTTAAAACATGGGTTCTAGGGATCAACCTGAGGCCCTACCAACCGTTTACTGACTGAGCTCTCTCCCTAGGCCTGGTGGCATGACTTTTTTTTTTTAAGCACACATGAAAAAGCCCCTTAATAAAGAATGTGTCCACCTTCCAGGAGAAGCAGAAAGCGTCACTTAGATGACATCTCCTGGTGGCCCAGTCACTGCCTCAGAGTCATTGTCTTGTTCATTTTGTTCAACAGTGTATATTCACTATATACACTGATGGGTTTAATAAGGGCATTTTGTTTGTTTGTTTCCCAGAGCTGAGGACCGAACCCAGGGCCTTGTGCTTGCTAGGCAAACACTCTACCACTGAGCTAAATCCCCAAACCCCTAATAAGGGCATTTTTGAGATAAGGTCTCATGTATAGAAGGCTTGCTTACAACTCAGTGTGTAGCCAAGGATGGCCTTGGACACATGATCTCCTGCACCCCCAAGCACTAGGATTACAGGTATGAACCGCCACACCAACTGTGTGGTGCTGGGGACTGAACCAAGGACTTCTTGCTTGCTAGGCAATCCCTGTACCAACTGAGCTCCATCCACACTTCTGTTCAGGGGTGCCTTTGACCATATTAATCCCCCCTTCACACTCCCCCACCTGCCCCGACTCTTCCCTTCCACTGCTCTGTCTGCTCCCCCTCCCAAAGAGTCCTGCTTTTATTTTCACATCACACACATGTAGACAGGGTTATACAACCTAGGTTCCACATTCGAGAGAAAACAATATTTGTCCTTCTGTGTCTTTCTTATTATGCTTACTATGAGCTCCAATTCCACTGATTTTCCTGTAATAACGTAAGCTCATCTCCTTGCGGAATAAACTCCACTGCGTGTGTATACCACCTTTCTTTCTGTTGATGGACACCTAGGCTGATCTTAAAGATTAGCTTCTGTGCACTGCCTCATAACGACTCAGTTTTCCATAGACACATTCTGTAAAATGGGTCCTCCGGGTGGTGCATTGATGGCAAGAGAGAAAGACTCGGGCTGGGGGCAGCAGGCACAGTGGGATTTCACCACTTCTGGCAGATGCCCTTTTACCACCTCAGTCTGAGTTCCCACCTTCCCTCTGCACCTCCCCCTTAGCCTCTACACACCTCAGCCTCCATCCAGAGGAGGATGGAGAACGTTTGCTGAAGACTATTCGGTTTTGTTTAAGTCCCCCAGAAAAGCAGTCAGATGCAAATCCCAGATCCTAGCCTGCTGGACCCCACCTCTTCTCATCCACTCCTGTTCTCTCGGGCCAGCCAGATACCGCTCTCTGCTCTACTCAGGGCATGTGCATGCTTCCCAGAGACATTTGCCCCGACTGCTTCTTCAGTCAGGACACTGAGACAGGAGGGTCAGAAGTTCAATACCAACCTCAGCTGTTTATGGAGTTTGAAGCCAGCCTGAAATAGAGACACTATTTGGAGAACTAAAATAAAATAATCAGAGCACAGAACTAAAAAAGAAAAGACCTGCTGGGATTCTGATGGAAACATTACACACAAGTCCCTCTGTAATGAACTTTTTTTAAATATAAATGGATGATTTGACAATCCCCAAACATATTTTCCTGTTCAAATTAATGTTAATTATGTTTTCAACTTCAGAAAACCCTGCAATCATGTCTCAGAAATGACTGTTCTTGTGCTGGCAAGATGGCCCAGTGGATAAAAGGGCTCAACACTAAGTCTGGTGACCTGAGTTCAATTCCTGCAACCCAAGAGGTAAAAGAACAGACTCCTCCAAGCTGTCCTCTGTGGCACGTGCACCCCCTTACCCCATAAAGGAATAAAGGAAAAATAATTAAGAGCTCTTCCTCCCCCTTTAAGGAAATTATTATTATCATAAGGTAGCAGAGAAAACTCTGTTATGGTTTGGCCCAAATAGTCCCAATTTTTATTCTCTAGAATATTGTTCTAAGAGGAACTGTCTTAAACGGTCCCAGCATTAGGAAAGGTGAGAACCATTGCTCTCAAGGAAGCTGGAGGCCAAGAAAACAGCCCCAGCTTTGAGTTCAACAGATCTCAAGTCAAATCCCAGGCACTTCTAGCTGCATGTCTCCGGGCAAACTGCTTACCTGTGATTTCTCTTAAATGTGAATGAAAGCATACACCTCGAGGGGCTGTTGTAAAACTAAGAGCTAATATGTAAGAGGTGCCTAATCCAGTGTCTCACATATCGTAGGAGCTTAAAAATGTAGTTAACGCTACACTGATAGACTATTATAGCGTTAGCACTATACTAGTAATTTACCCCTGAGGAGCATCCTTCGGGCCTTCAAAGTTGGCATGGGACTGTTTGATGTCTCCAAATGCAAACATAACTAATTTAACTCACATTCTAAAACGTCTAAAATAACAGCACTGGGTTTTAAAAGTGCTTTGCTAGAATGAAAACACCTGCCCCAACATCTACCTTATAAGCTGGGCTCAGGGATTGTGAACAATTGGCTTTAAAGAGGAACAGCCTTCAGGTTGGTGTCTCAGGGGGGTGTTCTCAGGGCTCAGGGAGATGATCTCTATGTGCCTCTGAGGGTGCAGGAGGTGTCAAAGGATGCATACTTCAAATTAAGCCAAGAGAGCTCTCATGTGAGCCTCCTCCCTCTGTGTGTGGGGTGTGTGTGTGTGCACGCACACACGTGCATGCACATGCACACTAGGGATATAGCTCAATAGTAAAGAACTTGCTCAGCATGTGCAAGGCTCTGGGTTCAAGCCTCAACATCATAAACACACACACAAACACACACACACACACACACATACATATAAACACATTTTAAAGAACAGAAATATGCTAATCAGAGTAATACACTGTCATAGTTATGTAAAAGGTAATGAAAGGAGAGAACAAGCCCACTGATACTGAAGCCCACACACCTTAAGAACTTGAGTGTCATGAGAGGAAAAAGTGAGCACACACACAGTGCATTTTAAAGTATCTGCAAAAGGCTAGCAGGACTTAGATATGTGACTCAAAAGAAGTGATGGCCACTCAGCATTGTTGCTGGGACCACAGTCATCGCCTAAATAAGCCGACTGTGGGCTGGGGAGAACTCAGTGGACAAGGCACTCCTGTGTGGGGACCAGTCTCCAGCACCTGACTCTAATGTCAGTGTTCAGGGGGCTGAGCTATATCTCAAGCTCTCTCCACACTGTTTTATTTTGGGACAAGGTCTCGTTACACTGCACAGACTGCCCATGAACTTGCTCAGGAGCAAGTCGGCTGGCTAGCTAGCTGAACGTGAGAGCTCTTGTTCAGTGAGAAACCCTACACTCAGTTTAAAAAAAATTTACAATCAAGGAAGATACCCAAGATTGGGCTCTGGCCTCCACACCATGCACACCAACCCTCACACACTCATGTCTATATACATGCAGACATACATACCCCCACATATACACACCTCATCTGCACACACATGGACACGACATAAGCTCACTTCTAAATTTATGAGAAATGGTTGTGAAGGCCAAACTACATTGAGCATCAGGCAACTGTTGGCTTCATTTACTGTTGTGAGCTAATCTTTCTGTACACTATAAAGATGTGTCTCTGCCTAAGGCACCTTCTGATTGGTTTAATAAAGAGCTGAATGCCCAATAGCTAGACAGGAGAGAATAGGCAGGACTTCTGAGGAGAGAGAGGAACTCAGGGGTTAGAACCTCAGTGGGCAAGAGATGCCAGCAAGACACTGAGGAAGTCAGATATACAGAATGGAGGAGAGGTAAAGAAACACATGGCAAAACAGAGGTTAACAGAAACAGGTTAATTTAAGTTATAAGAGCTGGTTGGGAACAAGCCTAAGCTAAGGCCAAGCTTTTGTTATTAATAATAAGTCTCCAGGTCATTATTTGGGGACTGGAAGTCCAAAAATAAGTCCAACAAGAAAGACAGGTTATAATTTACCACACATGAAGTGATGGCAATTTTTTTTCTTTTTTAAGATTTTTTTTTTTTCATTTGAAATAGCAATTTCACTGCTATTACAAATTCTTTCAGGTAATTACTTGAAAATGGAAATGACCTTGCAGTTGATTTGGGAGACTATGAAATCACACAGGAAATTAAAGTAGACCTGTAATTCCACCACTTTGGGAGGCTGAGGCAGGAGGATTGCAATGCCAAGGCCTGCTGGATTACAGAGCAAGTTTGAGGACAGTCTGGGCAGCTTAATGAGACCCTGTCTCAAAGTAAAACAATCTAAAGAGGTAACTGGGATAAGTTCAGGGACAGGGCACTTGCCCAGCATGCACCGGGCTGTAGGTTCAGTCTCTCACACCCGTTCCTCAAACCAGGTCACTGGTCTAGTGATACACAAAGCCCAGGTATAGTTAAGAACACGTGGTGGAAACAGTTTCTCCTGCCAGTGTGTCCCTCAGCCTAGGCAGCTGGACCTGAAGCTTTAGTTTCTTCATCTCTCCAGCAGGAATGTGGGTGTGTGGCAGGCACAGCCTGCCAGGCTATGAAAATGTTTTGGAAAGTATAAAGCATTAGTCAGCCCTTAGGAAATCCAGGTTTTCTGAGGGACCTGGCTGCCTTGAACAGAAACTCAGCATTCTGATTTTTTTTTCTTCATTCATATGGAAGGGACAGGAAGGACCTGTTCTGGGGACAGAAGACCTGGATTACATTTGCACCTCTCAAAGTTCCTTGCTGGGAGATTTCAGGCTACTTACTAACTTTCTAGTCGCCTGGGCGGTGGTGGCGCACGCCTTTAATCCCAGCACTCGGGAGGCAGAGCCAGGCGGATCTCTGTGAGTTCGAGGCCAGCCTGGTCTACAGAGCGAGTTCCAGGAAAGGTGCAAAGCTACACAGAGAAACCCTGTCTCGAAAAAAAAAACAAAAAACAAAACAAAACAAAAACAAAAAAACAAAAAAAACTTTCTAGGTCAACTTCTCCACTGTTTAAGATACTTTCAGGCTGGGCAGTAGTGGTGCACACCTCTAATGCCAGCACTTGGGAGGCAGAGGCAGTCAGATCTCTGTGAATTCAAGGCCAGCCTGGGCTACAGAGTGAGTTCCAGGTCAGCCAGGACTACACGAAGAAATCCTGTCTCAAACAAAACAAACAAACAAAAAGAAAAAGGATACTCTCAGATATTCAATGCTAAAGTGGGGTTGTTAATAATAAGTAAAATGTTAACAAATCATTTTAGGTTCATATACGGGCACTACAAGGCTTCCGTTGTGCCAGGATTTTGTTTTCATTTTTGTTTGTTTGTTTGTTTAGTTGTTTGGTTGGTTGGTTAGTTGGTTGGTTGGTTTTTCAAGACAGGATTTCTTTCTGTGTAGCCCTGGCTGTCCTGGAACTCACTCTGTAGACCAGGCTGGCCTTGAACTAAGAGAGATCTGCCTGCCTCTGCCTCCTAAGTGCTGGGATTAAAGGTGTGTGCCGCCACCACCCTACCCCCAGGATATTATTTTATTATTTATCTCTTTTTTACTTTTTGAGGCAGTTTCATGTAGCCCAAGCTGGCCTTGAACTTGCTATATAGCTGAGACTGATCTTGAACTCCTGGTCCTCTTACCTCTGCTTCCCAAGTGCTGGGATTACAAACTGGTGCTGTCACACCTGGGTAGGATATAATTTTTGAAAAGGTCAGTGTTCCAGGTGGTTGGGACCTCAACCTCCATCTTCATAAGAATATCTATTATTGACTATACTTTGCTAACCTGTCTATCACGTGCTTAATTATTCCTGCACTATAATGTGATGCAAATACCCAGATGACCTTTTCTCTAATGGGAACACTAGAGCACTGAGAGGTGACACCGTATGTCCCGAGTGACTCAGAGGTAGCCACACAGGCAAGATCTGAACCTGGACTGTCTGGCTCCCAAATCCACCACTATCAGCTATGATATGAGCAAACCTAGACTAAAATCCTTGCTCTGCCCTTAGCTCTGCAACCTTGCACAGGCACCTTCCTGCCCCTTCTGCCCTCATTTCCGAAATGAAAACCCTGTTCAGATGGTTATCTGTGAAGGTTAATTAATTACTGAATAAAAAGTACTTCCCACCAGGCTCCACCCCCACAGGCTCCACCTCCCACCAGGCTCCACCCACCACCAGCTCCCATGAAGTTCCAGATGCCTCCAGAGAAGACATGCTTCCTGAGGCTGGGTGAGTGGGAACCATACAGAGAGACAGATGAGAAAGCTTTCCTCAGCCTCTCTGTCCAGCAGCTCATTCCTTGTCTCCTCTGGAATCAGAACCTTGTGGTCTGTCAGGCTCTGCCGGGAGCCCACTGAATCTGACTACATCCTCACTGACCACTTTGGGAGGACCACTCTGTTCCTGTGATATATTGTAAAGCTGCGTGTTTAATGGGGATCTTGGCTTCCCCAAGAATCTCAAACACTCATTAAAACAGAACAATTTTTCTCTTGCTTTTTCTTTATGAAGTCCATGTGAGAAGTGTCATGGTGAGAACGGAGAAATCTCAGAGGTTCTGGATGTTGGGTTAACTAAACACATAACTAAACAGACTGGATTCAGACTACACCAGAACAATAAACCCAGGTGAACCTGGGACTGCCCCCAGATCTGTATCATCCCAGGGCATTCCAGTTTTCTAGAAAGTTCCCGACACACTCCACTAACAGCTCATTTTGGCTGCACCGAAAAACCTGCTCGACTGCAGATTCTCCCAGCTGCAGCTGTGAATTGGTTCCACACAGCGACACGGAGGCAGAGCCATGCTAAGGGGCTACACTTTAAGTGTGCACCACGTAATGCTCTTGAACACTTTCCAACAAGGAGAGGCATCAAATGCCAGGAAAGATAACAGACAAATGAGGTACCAATAAAAAACCTCCGCATGTTTATAGACGTGTCCTTCCCCTGATGCATTTACTAGTATGTGTGGACTGTCAGCCCACCCACGATGAACACAGCCCAATGTGGGCATCTCTGTGTACTACAGCCACCTACAGTTTGGGACCGTAGCACTGGAGGGGTCACCAATATCCTTAGCTCCACCCCACCCCCACCCCCCCCGTCAGGAGCTTCCTATCTGGTGGTTGCTCTTGCGTACAGCTCTGGTCTTTCTCTGGAGTTTCTGTTGCTAACACCTAACACAGCCACAGAAACAGGTCCTTACAATCCGCCTTTTTCCTCCTTTTTGGTTTTTGACACAGGATCTCATGTAACCTAGGCAACTCTGTGTGTCTGAGGATGACCATGAACCCCAGATCCTTCTCCTTCTACCTCCCAAGGGCTAGGATTACAGGCAGATGCCACCACACCCAGCTAATCGCTCTTCTCTACAGCCTGGTCAGAACAATGGTGGATGTGAAGAACTGTCACTGAAAGTGACCAAGCTTCCTTTGTCCCCAGGTCACAGAAAAGTTAGCCACCAGACTCCCAGGTGTGGTAACATTTATCCAGTGATTGTAGCTCCTCCAGGACGATCAGGAAGGAGAGGCCAGCCTAAGCAATTTAGGGCTTATCTCAAAATCACAAACATTTAAAGGGCGTATAGCTCAGCAGTAGAACACTGCCCAGCACGTACAAGGCTCTGCGTTTAATTCTCAGTACTGAAAAGAAAGTATGTGACTCTCCACGCTGGAACTCACACTAGCGGCACTGAAGACCCCGCTCCTCCCGTTACCCCCAATGTCAAACATTTCCTCGCAGGCAGGAATTGCTACAACGACCAATGTCTTGGGGGGGGGGACCCCGTGGTGCAACATCTCCCTCTTGGCTGGCTTGTCCCCCGCTCCTTCCTCTTTCCCTGTCTTCTCTCTGGCTTCTTCCCTCCATCCGTCTCCCCTCTCTCCTTCCTTCGCCCTCTTCCCACCGACCTTTTGAGTGGCAGTTGCAGGGTAGGCAGCGGTCTCTCTCCCGCTGCCGGTAAAAGCCCTCCCGGCACCTCTCGCAGTGGATCCCGGCGGTGTTGTCATTGCAGTTGAGGCAGCGGAACCCATGGCCCGTCTGTCGCTGGAGCTCCGGGTCAAAGATGCACTGTCTGGATTTCCCATTGCAATCACAGACTGGGGGAGAGGGGAGAGAGGGGGTCAGAAGCAAGCAAAAACATCAGACTATTCCCTCAGGTGGTTACTATCAAGTATGCAGGGACTACCACATGTTGACTTGAGCTACGCAGGGGAAAGAGGGTGACAGGGGCCATTGGGGCAGAGTGAGGACTCTTGTTCCACCTAAAGGAAGCAGCAGTCACAAAGTGCCGGGGTGATCGTTGTCTGGGAAACATGAATTCAGGGTCACCAAATTGTCCGATTACATAAGAGAAGCCAAAAGGCTTGGTGATGTTTTTAATGTGAAAATTCATGGTCTGAACATCTGCAGAGCATTCATTTGGATCACTGTGTAAACAAACCAAGAGAACAAGTCAACGAGCTAACAGAGGACTGCCAGGCATGGACGCTCATCCAACTCTCTAGCAGCTCATGATGTCCACTATGGAAGACATTCATTTGTCCCTCGACAGTGTCAAGGCTGAGTGGCTGATCTGGCCATCTGGACTGTTGGGATAATCTTTTTGTACACTGGGTGAAGATGTGCCTATGTCCTTCCTCATTTTTCTAAGGCACCTTCTGATTGGTTTAATAAAGAGCTGAATGGCCAATAGCTAGGCAGGAGAGAATAGGCAGGACTTCTAGGAAGAGAGAGGAACTCTGGGAAAGAATCTGAGGCAGAGGATTTGCCACCAGACTCCAGACTCAGAGGAAGTCAGATATACCATACTGAGGAAAGATAATGAGCCATGTGACCAAATGTAGATTAATATAAGTGGGTTATTTAAGTTTTAAGAGATAGTTTGGAATAAGCCTAAGATAAGGCCAAGCATTCATAATTAATAGAAAGTCTCCGTGTTATTATTTGGGAGCTGGTGGTCCAAAGAAAGTCCGACTATACTGGACTAGTTCCTTCTCACCCTCACTAGTATCTTGCATGTCCCTCCGAAAGCCAGTTGTCAAAGAAAACCATCCTATAATGTCAGCCAATTCTGTATGTGTGTGAAGGGGGGTGTCTAAACAGCCACGACAGTCACACGTGGGAATAATTGGCATAGTATCTGATATACAGTAGACACTCAAAACATTTTAATCAAGGTTTACAAGAAAAAGTGATGGGCCTTGAAATCAAAAGAACTGAAACATTTCTTTGAACAAATTTCCTTTCCCTCCTGGGTACGTGGCTGTGACTCGATCCCAAGGCTCTGCATACACTGGTCAAGCACTTTACCAGTGGGCTATATCCTTTGGGCAAATCACTTCGACTTTCGCATCTGGCTTCCTCCTCTAACAAGTGTGGAACAGGTCGTCGCCCTGCGGCCTTTGGAGGGTCTGTCTGAAGAAGGACCAGCCAGGGCCCTTACCTGAGCTCCTTTTCTTCCCTCAGAAATAACAGGTGAAAACCAACACTTATGGTGAAGAAATTTGACCCAGTAAAGAGCTGGGGTCTGAGGGCAAACCTTTCCACAGAATTCACTGACCAGGTAGCCTTGGTGTATGAGGTAAAACCTTGGTGCCTGTGAAACTGTTTCTGGAGTGTCCAGAATTAGGATTTAACCAGAGTAATAACCATAAAGCCAGCAAAGGGGCCCCATGTCCACCTCTGAAGCCACAACCCACTGCCATCAATCTCATTTGCTCCCTAAATATGTAACATCAACCCAGAGCCGCCCGGTTTCATTTATTTTAAATTTTATTATACCTATGGTATGTGTGCATGCTACTCCGTGCATGCAGAGGACAGAGGACAACTTTTGGAAAACAGTTCCTCTTCTTCCACCATGTGGCACCCAGGGATCAAACTCAGGTCCTCAGACTTGGCAGCAAGCTCCTTTAATCTACAGAGATATCTTGCCCCCCCCCCTCCCCCCAGCTGCTCCGGGACTTTACATCCATTAGCTCAGCTAACTCTCACGATGTTTTTTAACCTCTCTGCTTAGGGGATGGGAGGATGAATGCTTAGAGGGGGTACACATCTTGCCTTCTGTTACAGAAACAGCTAAGGGGCAAGGGCAGAATTTGCCTGGTCTGTGTGATTCCAAAGCCTCTGTCTTCATCGCTTCCCCTTCACGAGATCTAGTCTGGCACAGAGGTTCCTGTGACCTCTTCTGGAATAGCTCTTAATCTTGTAAAACACACACACACACACACACACACACACACACACACACACACACACACACACAC